TACCGGTTCTCAAATTTTCTGAAATTTTCACTATCGTATCTCAACTTAATGCACCAAATAATATTAAAAGATTTTTGGTGTACAAGAACCGGAAATTGGTGTTTTACTTCCGTAAAACAATTGATGTAGCAAAAAAGTGTATGAAAATACCAACATTTTTAGAGTTTAAGATTTTATAACTTTTTTATTATGCAATGTTTTGTTACATATTTGAGTTCATAATTTGCAGCAGATCCTATTTTAAATAATAGAATATTATTTGGTAGCGTAAAACATTGTTTTGATATTTTTTTGGACAAAAAAGTGAACCCTGTCGTACACCTTTGGAAGGCGGCACTAAATAGTTCATAGCACAGGCCCTGGGGACCTTTTTAATTTAAAAAAAATATCTCATGGGTCGTGTCTTAGGGAGCTACAAATATAACCCAGTAATGGTTAAATTGCTTTGTGGGCAAAATTCTTTTGTTCCTGTAACAGGTCCTTTCTTGCGTGAACAAAGTGAAATTCGGAACAACCCGAGCTTTCAGTATGACGGAGACAAGCAACACTTCATCAGTAGTCAGTATAAGGACATCACAAGATTCAAACCACAAGGACATGTTCTGCCCGCTACACAAGAATGGTCATTCCTTAACTATGTGCAAGGTTTTCAGAAAAAAAGTCGATTTCTGATCGAAAGGACTTTATCAAAGAGATTAAATTGTGCTTCCGCTGCAGTGAATCTACCTCCCACAAGGCCAAATACTGTACAACGACATGATGATAGTCTACATCCCAATGTTCAGAACGTAAAAGTGACCGACATCCAACTGCGTTAATGTGGAATATCCAAGATTGAGAGCCAATGGCGGGGAGAGTGCTCCACATTCTCAACAAGTAAGCACTGATCTGCCTGCACACAGGTATACAAGCCTGGTTTCTCTCGAAAATCTTGTGCTAAAAATGTTTTAGTAAAAGTGTATCGTAAAGGGAGTCAAGACAAAGCCATTAAGGTATATGCTATGGTGGATGTCCAGAGCAATCATTCACATGTTCGTCCTGAGATTTTTGATTGCTTAGAAATACTCACTACAACCTTACTACATGCTCTGGGAACGTCGCTATTTCAGGCCGTACAGCTGATGATTGACTACGCTAGATAGAGAATAATACATGCCTTTTTTCATATCACACCCAGTATCAGCCCGAGGGCTGAAAACCCTCGAGCTGATATTGGTCGAGGGTTGATACTGGGTGTGATTTGGAAAAATGCGTGTTTTATTCTGTTTATTACATACTTACTAATAAAAGCTTCCATCTTATGATCTATTTTTCTTTTGAAATGTTGAAAAACGAAAAAAACTCAGAAAGGGGTGTGATACGGGTTTTGCGGGCTGATACGGAGAGTGCTGATACGGGTTTTGCGGTGGGATACGGCGGGGCCTGATACGGGTTTTGGGGTGTGATACGGCGAGGGCTGATATGGGTTAGAGCAATTGTGTCGTATCGCATATACAAAAAACCTGTATTTATCAGTAAGTATGTAATAAAACTTCCTATTGTCCGTGAGGAGATTTCTACTCCAGATATTGCTCGTCACTATTCACATAGCTTGTCACATTCCTCCCCTGGAGGACACAGTAGAGGTTATGTTGCTGATTGGCAGAGACCTCATCTAAGCACATCATGTACTGGATCAATGTATTGGTTTGGCAAAGTCACCTAAGAAACTGCCTCTAGGTTGGACATTTATCAGTGAAACTTGCCTAGGAGAGGTCCACACCCCAGTAGTATCGCGGCTCCACAAGGTTCTATCGTAGATCCTCCATTACTTTTGATTTATATCAACGATAAAGCTGATGTCTTTGACTCAGCATCTCGTCTTTTCGCAGATGACACCTCACTTCGATGCTGTTCCTCTTCCTGTCTTGAAGTTAAGACTACACTAAATAAAGACATAGAATCTTAAAACTCGTGGGCTAAAACTTGGCTGGTAACATTTAATCCGGACAAAACTGACGTACTTTTTATCTCCAATAGAAATGACATAGATGAATCATTAGAATTGCAATTTGACGGGAATGTTTTAGACTTTACAGATAGTCACAAGCATTTAGGTGCTACTCTCAACTCCAGTGTCAAATGGGGGGATCATGTAGAAGCAGTGTATTCTTCAGTTATGAAAAATTTGTCTTAAAAAAATACAAATTTCTATTAAAACGAGATGCCCCATAAAGAATTTACCGAGCATTTATTTTACCTATTTTAGAATATGCATGCGAATTGTGCGATGGGTGCTCTAGTTTCTAATCAGAAAAGTTAGAAAAGGCCCAACGTGAAGCCGCTTAAATTATAACAGGTCTCCCATCATATGCTAGTATATATTATTTAAATTTGAAACAGGTTTAGAAACATTGTCTGCTAGAAGAAAAAGCAGAAAGCTTCAACTCTTGTTAAAAACGCATACTAACAAAACACCAGACTATTTTTCTTCCCTGATTTCCTCCACTGCACAAGATCTTGTTCGCTATCCTTTGAGAAACAGAAATGATTATAAAATCTCGTATTTCAGATTATCAACAACAAACTCTTCTTTCTTACCGTCAACGCTTCGCTGTTATAATACCCTCAATAACTCTATTAGGTCATCAGCTACATTGAATATCTTTAAAACTTCCCTGAAACCCAACGATCAATTTTTTCCTCCTTCTTACTTTAGTAATGGGGGCCGTAGTTTAAATGTTTTTCACACGAAACTTAGACACCGGTGCAATTCTCTAAATTATGACTTATTCCGAGTGAACCTTATGAAAACCTCTAACTTTACTTGTGGACATATTTGTGAAAATGCTTACAGTATCACGTTTTCTTCCAATGTCGTCGTTATTGTATTGAAAGAAACATCCTTTTTCAGCGAGTAAAAAACTTGAATTTAGAGGTACCATGCAATTAAGTTTTCCTTTTATTTGGAAATGAAGATTTGTCGCTTGACACAAATTCGGAGTTTTTTTTTATATGTTCAAAATTTCATTAAATCTAACAACAAATTTTAAAGAAAATTGCTCTATGCTATTGATTTAATTGTTTCATTGTCATTATCCGATGTAACTTAACGATTGTGCCATATATAAATGCAATGACTTATTCAACTGCTAAGATAACATGGTTGGCCCAGCTGGTATTATTAAGATGAAAGACTACAGAAAAGAAGAGGATCTGCGTGGTTACTGAAGAGGAAAGGTTTTCGGGATTGAGATGAACATTTTGTAGCGAGTAATGAATGTGTTTATAGTCCAGCTAGGCCAACATTGTTATAAGTTTGTTATATAACAATGTTATAAGGGTGTTATAGAACATTGTTATAAGTCTGTTAACCTAATTAAGTTTTAATTATGAAACAAATCTCTCTCTCTCTCTCTCTCTCTCTCTCTCTCTCTCTCTACAGTATCAGGATAGAACGTTTAAAGGGAGGTAACCTGAATGTTAGCAAGTCACGTTGTGTTTATTGTCCTTAGTTGTCTCCCATTAGTTTGTGTTTCGTTTATTAATATTTACTATTAAATATTTGAAGCAGTCTGAGTATGGTACACATTTACCTGATAGGATGTTTCGATACAACAAGGAGACATGAAGTAAGCGGGATACACTATGAGTCTGGCTGGCTGTGTATAGACTTAAATTGTTACTATCAGTAAATCAAATGACATTGATAACAACCATTTTTGTAAAAGAAATTCTTTTCGTGGCTATGTTCAATTTCCCCCTTGCTTTAATTGTCTGTCCAGCAAGTACAATCATGATAATGACATCCAGTTATGTGACAAACTTACAATGTATAAATTCAAGTGATCGAGTTGAATACGTCTTAACAAGGCTCAAGGCAGCGCAGTCCAGATTTGAGGTATACCTACATGTTAGATGACCCGATTGGGCGGATAGTGTTTTAAGGCGGTAGCTGTTTACACGCTGGTACGCAGGTTTTTTAAACAAAATTTTCAAACAGACAAATAGAACAAAAACATTGCTTGTTGCACCTCCTTTGCCCCCTACCATGTCCGAGTCCCGGACCCGCTCTTAAATGAATCCACTCATCCTCAATATCCAGGGGTTACGCTCACTTAGAGAGCGAAAGTGAGCGTAACTCCTGGATACCGAGGATGGAATCCACTCCGAACAAGGGCTAGCTATACCCCGAAGGCAAATTCTGCTTTCGGCTTATGATAATCGAGGGGCTTAATGTTTTTAAATATCAGCTATGTCCTATTATATTTCCTATATTGTTTTTTCTATTGTTGTTTTTATGTTTTGCTATTGTGTGTTTTTTCCGTGTCTCGATAAAGAGGCGGATTGCCCCGAACATTTGACAATGTCATCCTGTCTACACTGTTGGAATCACTTCCTTGCCACATACACCAATTCTTAGTAATTCGTATCCTACAAACATACGTTTGCACGGATCCAGCGTTATTTGGTAAAAGACCGTTGGTATTACTTCTGTGACCCATATCTGCCAAGTTTGATATATCTTAGATCAAAATCTGATTGTTCCACTCTTTATATACACATCTTCTCTGCGACATCATATATATACGTACATGTCATGGCAAAATCGAGGGTTCACGCTTAGCCATTTTATTGCCACAGATATACAAATTTCTGACTAATCGCAAGGCTGATTACATGTCCTTTTAAGATTACGGGAGAGTTTCACCAAAATCTAAGCCGATCAATTATACCGTTATGCTGCTGTGCAATTCCGCTCATCTTGTATTAAATAAATCAAAAATAATGCAGGATTACGAACAGTTTCAGACTGATCAATCTGTATCATCAGCAAGGTGGCGTGCATTACACCTAAGATTTCGCCATAACTTCATGACATATTTCAGGGTGTAAAATTTCCGCTGAAATTCTTCTAAGCGATACCATTCTAGATAACGAAAATATCTAGTAGAGAATGAAACAAAAAAAAACAACCAGAAAACGCAAAGCTTGACTACAACAAATTGTTATTTCCCAGCAATGTACATGCAACGAAATAACATATACTGTACAAAGATGACGTAACATGTGAACAGCATCAAGTATTATAAAGATAATATCTGATTGTTTACACAACTTTGTTTTGAACGATTTATATAAATGTTATTATAATTTACAAAGATTGAACTTCGCCTGCTTTACAGAGAGACATGAAAGTATACAACAATATTACAGGCCCCTGTGTTAACCTATGACGTGTGTCACCGCGTCGCTGACCACCCGGTATATAATCAAGTTGCTGATTGGATGTCATTGTGGGGTCAAAGGTCTGCTGCCTGGTACATGTAACTCGCTTTGAGAACAAGTCCTCATCAACCAGTACGTCATCATTCTACCTTTACCCTGCAACATGTCAAGTTCGAACATTTATGTAAGTAAGCATTGGTTAAATCATCTCCGAAATACAAGGGTTCTGAAATACAAGGGTTCTGAAATACAAGGGTTCTGCTCCTAATAAACATATCTTCTCTGCTATATTTTAATATATCATAACACAATCGGAGGCTCGTGGTTAGCCAATTTATTAATATCATCCGAGGCTCGCGGTTAGCTAATTGCTTGGTATCAGGAGAAAAAAACCCTGCATAAATAGTAGGCGACACAAAATATTACAGAGGACCGACTTTAGACCGGTCGAGTTTGCCTTTACGCTGCCACGCATTCATTTGATGTACCTGAAAGGATCGAACTAGTCTACTTGTCTCATCCACAAGCTGGCGCGTAGTGAGCCTTCAAATCTGTCATGGCAGTTTCTTAGTGTGCACATAAGATATGTATTCATAAGAAATATTAATAAATTTTACCGTAATCTCAATTAGTCCCCTTTTCACTGGCTTGAAGTACGGGTATTTTGTTAATGCTTCAGCCGTGTACGACGATATATGGATATGCTGAGCTGTAAAGAAAGGTTCTAGTTACGTTTTTATACATGTATGTGACAATCTTTAGCTTATTGGAATTTGAACTAGTAACTTTTCATAAAGCATTAAATACGTCGGAATGTTATTGATACGTTTTGTTCATTGTAAAAGATCTAGCTTTTCAGTATACCTCGTTACGTGTAAACCTGTCTCGGACTTTATCTGCGATTCTTCATAGTCTATAATAATAGAAGATTTTTAAAAATGTCTTTAACTTACATTGTACAAAAAATCATTCAAAATATTCAGTTGATAAAGTATAAAAAAAAGAACAATTTAAACTTATAGTTGTACAGTATAAATAGTTCAGTTTCAACATTTGTCGAGTGTAAGACAAGGCGTTGTTCGAATGGAATCGTTATTGTATCAAATGTCTGGTGCGTTGTTTAATTATCGAATGTCCAGGGTTCGAATCCTACGGTGGCCCCGTCGCTTTCTTACACTCGGAATATTGTTGGTTATTTTCGTTCATTTCATATTTATTTAAATGTAAATATATGTTCATGAAAAAAATAATGAAATCATGAAAGCTGACAGTGCAAGTTAAAAAGCTTTCAATTGAGATTAAACAAACATTTGTCGAATCGAAGGAAGCGCCGACGTTTTAGAATGTACTTGCTTGGTAACGAGTATGGGTCTAGCTGGATATAAAAAGCGCATTACCCGTCAAACCGGTAAACATTTGTTCAACGTATGCACAAGGTGACACTATATAGTAGTGTCACCTTGTGCACACGTTGAACAAATGTTTAAAGTTAAAGTGTTCAATTTATATAGTATAGCTATATAAATAGAACACTTTAACAAATTTAAATCAACATTTGTTATCAGATCAGTTGAATAAAATTGAAATTGAAAGACTTTTTTTTTTTTAAATACTAATATACTATAGAATAAATACAATACTGACGTTTTCCGGTAGACTCCATGCGAGATGCAACATTGACTGTATCGCCAAACAGACAGTACCTAGGCATCTTTCTTCCGACTATACCGGTCACAACTGGACCTGTAAAAAAACACTTATGTCGATCTCTCGTTATGTCGATTTTATTTTGCGTCATTTGTATCACACAAAAGTAATACAATTTACAGGAAACATCTGTTGAACCAAGCACACTTTATCGAACTTCGTTTATCTATTCATGCTATTTGACTTGTTTAAGGTTAAAAAACCCTGACCAATCAGTAGAACTATATATGTCCTTTGAAGATTACAGAGGAGCTACATAAATTATGTACAGCCTGTCATCGATTGAACCGGCACGCTGCCGCGCGATTCCTTCAATACTGAACCAAGACATTATACCTCTGTACTGTTATCATCACGAAATGAGCCTCTGAGGAGACAAATGGTGTAGTAAGAGATTTGAAGCTGTTCATTTGACACGCGCATTTTTCATGGTTGCGCAAATTACACAGGTTTCATAGGTTTAAAAAAATTGAGTATAAAATGAAATGTATGTCGATCATTGGTGTGTCTCCTATCTACATCATTTAACACAGGTAAGGCTAAAAACTGAGAAATTTCCTTTTTGGACAGGCTCGCGTCAACCCACAATGTCGAGAAACGATAACCGAGCTCCTTCACATTTCAACAAAAGAGTTATGTTATAGTTAGTATATTTTAATAGCTTGCGATTGTGTCATCTTATTATACATACCTGTGTTGATTCCAATCCTTATGTTGAGATAGGCATTCCTACGAGACAGCTGAGGAACTTTTAGCTGATTGGTTGTATCTAAGAGGTCAAAGGCCAAATACGATACGTCACTTACATGACGATCCTCGTTAACATCCGGTAGTCCGGAAACAACCATATAGCTGTCACCTGGAAGGAGAACACGTGACCTTGGTTAATTATTCGTTTCTAACATTATATAACCTCGCTTTATATTCTACCATAATAATGATACACATGCATGCTAATTGTGGGTTTGTTTTCAATTGCACCGCGGGTGTGACGTATCGACGATTTTCATTGGCGGGAATGAGAACATCAGCGGTCAACATACCATGTATGTGTCCAAATGATGTATGCTCGCGCATAAAAGCTGTTTCCAAACATCACAGTCCGCACATTTACACAATAATATGCGAAATGCATCGGTACAAACTTTGCTTGATTTGTTAAGTGCTGGTAGGTGTTTATTATTAGGAAGCACGGTAGTCTAGTGGTAGGGGACGCCAGGCTCCTAACCGAAGTGTTGCGGGTTCGAGTCACGGCACGGCACTGTGCTGTATCTTTGAGCGAGATACTTTACTCCGCATGTTCCAGTCTACTCAGTTGTAAATGAGTACGTGGTTGGGCAGTGCTAGATTGTTGGATGCTAGCTGTGAGCGCCGAAATGGCAGCACCAGCTGTATGCTCCCCAGAGAGTCGAGAAAGATATTGGTTGGTACTAATTTGTGAACCGCTATGAGACGACATACGAACTAGGTTGTGATAAAGCGTTATGTAAGAACCTCGAATTATTGTTATTATT